CGGTGTGGATCACGCTGCAGTCCCCGTCCCACCGGCTGCGCCCCCTGCTGGATCGGGATCCTCTGCGGCAACTTCTTCCTCAGCTCCACGTGCGCCGGCCACAGAAGATCCGATCTGCATGTCCTCGCCCGGCGAGTCTGCAGCCGCTCCTGGTGCTGGATCTTCTGCGGATCCTCCTTCACCGCCTCGCACTAGGCTTCAGAGGGGAGTAACTCAACCCAAAAATTACAGATCTTTAGCAAAGTTTGGACTTGCTTGTGTTTCACATGAACCAGATATCCCACACTCTGTTGCAGAAGCTCTAGGCGATCCAAAGTGGCAGAAGGCTATGGAGGATGAATACATGGCGCTCCACAAAAATAAAACTTGGCACTTAGTTCCAGCACGTCAAGGCAAAGGTAAAAATGTTATAGATTGTAAATGGGTCTTCAGAATTAAAAAGAAGTCTGATGGCACCATAGATCGTTATAAGGCTAGACTAGTTGCAAAAGGCTTTAAACAAAGATACGGTCTAGACTATGAGGATACTTTTAGTCCTGTAGTAAAGGCTGCTACTATTCGTCTCGTTTTGTCTATTGCCGTATCCAGAGGATGGAGCCTACGCCAGCTAGATGTTCAGAACGCGTTTCTTCATGGTGTTCTGGAAGAGGAAGTGTTCATGAAACAACCTTCTGGGTTTGAAAACAGACAAAAACCCCTCCACATATGCAAGCTTGACAAGGCTCTATATGGATTAAAACAAGCTCCTAGAGCATGATATTCTCAGTTGAGTTCAAAGCTTCAAGGACTTGGGTTTGCTCCGTCCAAGTCTGACACCTCACTGTTTATTTTCAACAAGTCAAATACATCTATATTTGTACTCATATATGTTGATGATATTATTGTCACAAGCTCATCTGATGAAGCCATTTCAGCACTGCTCAAGGATTTGAACTCTGAGTTTGCTCTCAAGGATCTAGGAGCCTTGCACTACTTCCTTGGCATTGAAGTGAAAAGAAGTGGAGATGAGCTTCACTTGTCTCAAGAGAAATATGCCATTGATCTTGTAGCAAGAGCAGGGTTGCAAGGTTGCAAGGCAGCTCCAACACCTCTATCCAGCTCTGAGGAACTATCATTAACAGAAGGAAAACTCTTGAATCAAGAGGACAGCACCAGGTACAGAAGTATGGTTGGTGCACTGCAATATTTAACTCTGACTAGGCCTGATATTTCTTTTGCTATGAATAAAGTATGTCAGTTTCTTCATGCACCCACCACAGTACATTTGACAGTTGCAAAACGCATACTTAGATATATCAAGGACACTTCCAGTGTTGGACTCACCTTCACCAAGTCACCATCAACACTTGTAAGTGCCTTTTCTGACTCTGATTGGGCAGGTTGTCTTGATGACAGACGCTCAACAGGTGGTTTTGCAGTGTTCTTTGGTCCAAATTTAATCTCATGGTGTGCTAAGAAACAAGCTACTGTGTCTAGATCCAGCACAGAAGCAGAATACAAAGCACTAGCAAATGCTACTACTGAAATTATCTGGGTTCAGTCATTACTGAAAGAGCTTGGGATACATAGTAAACAGGCTCCATGCTTATGGTGTGACAATCTGGGTGCCACCTATCTTTCTGCTAACCCAATATTTCATGCAAGAACAAAACATATCGAAATAGATTTCCACTTTGTCAGAGAAAGAGTTGTAGAAAAAAAGCTGGATATTCGGTTCATTCGGTCTCAAGATCAAGTTGCAGATGGCTTCACTAAAGCTTTGCCTACCAGAGGTTTTGAAGAATTTAAGCGTAATCTCAACTTGTCCAAGTTGTGATTATAGGAGGGTGTTAAACCACGCAATATTCAGGCTCAAGGGGCGCACCACTTGTCGGTTCGGTTGAGATAAGTCTAGGTCTGGTTGGTTAGAATATATGGTTGTAATCTCCTCATGTATATCTTATCTCTACTTTCCTTGTACCTCAAGATGTAATCTCAACAACCTTGTATGCTTATCCAGGGATATGCCCCTGCGTATATTAACACGAAACCGTCGCCTCGAGAGAGGTACGACGTTCTCCGCTGTTTTACATCAGTTCGGACTTTTGGATGAGTTGGCTGGAGCATGAATTCAATATGGTATCCGAGCCAAGAGGTCTTGAGTTCAAAACCCTACCAACGCAGTATTAAATAAAAACGATTCTGCGGCCTACATCGATCCCACGTCTAAGGACTAAAATAACCTAGACGAGAGGGGGAGTGTTGAAATATGCTGCCCACCTCCCTCCATCAGTTCGGACTTTTGAATGAGTTGGCTGGAGCATGAATTCAATAATTACCATGAAGACCAATTTGTAAGCTAGCCCGGCCTTGATCTCTAGTGCGTAATTTGTAATCAGAAAGCCATTTATGTGACTTGAACTAATGATTATGTATTGTCTTTGCCAATGGTCCAACAGGTCGATGCTTCTTTTGTGAGGCCGCTGGCAGCAGAGTTGTGCATCCGTCTTCCGGAGAATACTTCATGCGCGACTTTATATTCTGGATAATATAAAGTGCTGCATCTTCTCTTCACCGTGCTTGTGCTGTAGTAACTGCCATTCTCTTGTTCGCTTGGTTGAAGGAGGCTCGCAAATAGTTTCAGGAACTTTCGATGGTTTAAATACCAAGTTAAAAGCAGGGAGTAATGTTGAGAAGTCGTGGTGATTTACTTGAAGTTGTTTCTAACCGTGGCAAGCAAGGACTATTGTTCTTTGTCCACTATGAAGTTACAGCCTTATAAGGCAGATATGTCTTGCTGCAGTTTTCTGAAGGAATGATAGATTGCCTAAGCATTTGTAGAAAGAGAATGTAGCAGATACATGAGTGGTAGTCTTGAAGGTACTGTCACCCAGTGCCATTATCATCCCAAGATAGTCATAAGATCAGATAAATGTTATCTTGTCCACATACAACCAGTTTAGGATGGATTTGATAAAATTATTTTCTTATTGCACGTGGTCACAAAATATTCTGCATGCTGATTTCCTCGCTGCTTGGTAACATTTTTCTATAAATCGTATCCAAACATACCCTTTTTTTTAGTTGATATCCAAACATACCTGCAAACATGAACAATCTGTAACTGTGAGTTAGTGTGGCGTTATTTTTCTCATGTACCAACCTATAATTTTTAGAACGCTACAAAATTTCCATTGACCGAAAAACAAGTCCATTTCACATGAAGCACGCAACGAATCCCACAAACCACCAGAACATATATTCAAAATTATCATCTCCTAGACATTAGTTTTTAAATATGTGCCATGAAAAACTGAAATGTTCAATCGTTCGACAACAAAGATGTACATCCATGAAAACTTAAAACTTCAGAGCAAAACTACTTTGCAAGACAAAGAAAAGAAAATAGGAAAAACAGCTATAAATAGAATACGAACAAAGTACTAGTAGAAATTGTTCTTTTGCAAAATTTGGTTTGTTTGTGTCATCAGCAACAATTAGCCTTCGACAGTTTAATCTATAAGAGAACTTTGAATTTCACATCACCTGACAAAATGGGCGAACACCCAACAACTCAATCGTAACACAAATGATTACTCTAAGCTCTGGGGCTCCAAGGATAAAAGTCATTCCAGCCACAAGATAGCTCCAGCAACAGAAACTAAATCCAATAGTTCATTAGGCTAGCTACCACAGCAAATCAGATCACATTTCAATAAAGAGAATAAACCGACAACTACGCTAGGCTGCAAATAAGTCATGGCAGTTCAACGACAGAAACTAAATCGACAAGCACACTAGGTTGCAATAACAAGTCAGATAGTAGTTTAATAATAAAGACTAAACTGAAACCTACACTAGGCTGCAACAACAGTCAACTCTGGGATGTTGATATTTTCCATCTGCTGTTGAGGTAAAGGCGTGAGGCGCTATCTCCTGCACTGCACAGTAGTCAACTCTGGGATTAAGAATCGAAGCAACAAGTAACAAACTGTAACAAGTAAAGTTTCCCCCTATCAAACAGTACATTAAGATTATCGCCCAAAAAGAGAACTGTACATTGAAAATTTGTTCAAGTAGTACTTACAGCCTGCTGCTCCTAGACGGAGAGGACCGGTCCTTCGGGCAGAATTGGGACTTCGGGTGGTATTGGGTTTCCGTTCAGCACATAGGAAACACTACCCAATACACTACATGAAAGAAAATAAATAAAGATGTAAACACATGTTGCTGCCAAATTTATTGGAACCAAGAGTGGAATTAAATTATACGACTAAAACTAAATATAGAATGCTTATTATGTACTTGAAACAATTAAAGGCATGGCTATAGTGACCCATTTGAATGTCAGTATTGTGGGTAAGTGGAGCAACACATTGTAACACTATATTCATGTGTCACTAGTAGAAAAAGAGTCAAACGTGAAGCACATTAGTGCCGGTTTGTATTTGAGCCGGTACTAATGGTACCATTAGTGCCGGTTCGAACGGATTTGCATTAATGCCGGTTCGTGTTGAACCTTTAGTACCGGTTCGTGGCACGAACCGGTACTAAAGGGGTGGTGGCAGGCTGGCGTCAGGCCGGGGCGCCACGATCACCTTTAGTACCGGTTGGAGACACAAACTCTACCCCCCCCCCCCTTGGATCGCCTTTTCAGTTTAAAAAAAATAAAAGAAAATAAGTTTCTCATGTGATATGTGGTCTAGTTGTTGGGAAAATTTGCAAATGTGAATTTTGACTTTATTTGCAAAATCTCTCTGAAATTTATAAAATTGAGCATAACTTTTGCATACTAACTCGGATGAAAAATCATCTACTCGAAAAGTTACATCCAAATTTTCAAAATCCTCAAAAACCTAATAGAAAAAAAATTACGGGGCTTTTAAGATCTAGAGTGGAAAAAATTGAAAAATATTCAAACAGTGGGTAAACTGTGGTCAAACAATGGTCAAACTAATTATTCTAGAATATTAGTGTTACTAAATAATTATTTTAGTTATTTCAATTTGGTCAAATCTGGTCAAACTGTGGTCAAACTGTGGTCAAACAATGATCAAACTAATTATTCAAGAAATATTAGTGTTACTAAATAATTATTGTTTTTTAAAACAATAGTTTCAAACTCAAACAGTGAAATGTGTCACTTCATGCTCAAGAAAAATTCCTAAAGGTTAATAGGATTGACATCTTACTATTGTCAGGAAAACAACAAGTGCAGACTCGGAAACGAAGGAGAAAAATAGAACCTGAAAGTTAAGCGTGCTCGGGCTGAAGTAGTGAGAGGGATGGGTGACCGGTCGGAAAGTTAGATGATTTGGAATGAGTGATCCACACTTGAGCAGTTAAGAGAGGTGATTAGAGACTAAATCATCAAATAATTCAGAAAATTAAAAATAAAAAAATTCTAAAAAAACCCTTTAGTACTGGTTGGTAACACCAACCGGTACTAAAGGTCCCCCGTACCAGGGCGCGAGCTCACGCCACGTGCTGGCACTTTAGCGCTGGTTCGTGCCGAACCGGTACTAAAGGGGGGGGAGGGGGGGGCTTTAGTGCCGAAACTTTAGTGCCGGTTCCATAACCGGCACTAAAGGCCCTTACAAACCGGTACTAATGGTCCGTTTTCTACTAGTGTGTATAAATGGTGCATCACATTGTACCTGCTGATCTCTGCTTCACTCAACACAGCTAACTGTAGGAACTTCACAGACAATGCGTCCATGTTTTGATAAGATATCCCAACAAGATGACCACTTTGGTTGAATATAGGTGATCCGAAACGACCAAATGAATGAAAAGGAATATCATGCACCCAGTTTCCCAATGGGCTTTCTCCTCCACTGTTCCTCACAATAAAGAAAAATTGACAAAAGAACATTAGAGCTATAATTCTTTTCTAGAAAAGGAGCACCATGCCCCCAATTTCATATCTCATGAAACTGATAAGCAGCACATAATAGTTCACATCAAAGGGGACACACTACCCTCGGGTTTCTGCTCAACGCAACCTTCCAGCTATCCTAACAAAAAAAAAAAACACTAGAACTTCAAACATACTCGAAGCGAACGAAATTAACCAAACACATCATCGCGACCATCTACAGATTATCAATAACCAAAGAGTTGCAGCTATTATAGAGCCAAGAAGACATTAGAGCTATCTAATCTAGTAACCAAAATGCAACATGTTAATATACTCTTCTTTATCCAAATCAATCTATTCACTACGTTTATTCTGCAGAATAATATGGTGATAGCCTTCTAAAGTAACTTTAAGATTCGTGTGAACTTTCAAGGAGGTGTATACTGAAGCAAAACTTTAAAGCTTACATGACGTTTCCTGGACAATACATTGTTGGCGTGAAGAAATCCTCTTGCGGAAATAGAAAACCATACACTTCCTCCTCTCGCCGAACAGGACCAGTCTCAAATGTCACCGGTTGCAGATAACCATTTGGTTGCACCTGAAGAACCAACACACAGAAGCCACGTACGAAAAACTGCATCGATGGAGCCACAGGCACAGCATCGTATCCCTCAGAAGTCGGCAGATTCACCACGAAAGGGCAGTTCTCCCGTCGGAAGAATGTGCGATCCGCGAGCACGACGCAGGATCCGTCGTCCTTGATGGAGACGATGGTGCCAGGGAGGACGACAGTCAGTATCTTCCCCTTGTTGTCAGGATTCGGCCACTTGAAGGAGATCCGGACGATGGACTTGCGCACAAATCCACGCTGAACCAAACAAACGTAGATAGATATAGATCCACACCATGAATCAGAGGGGCCAAAACATATGGGGAATCTCCATGAAGACGGTCACTGACCTGATCCATCTAGCAAGAACGAAAGAAGGTCGGACGCCGGCGAGGAGGGAAAAGGCGGGCGTTTTCAGTGGGATCTGGAGAGCGAGCAAGCGAGTAAGTGTTGCGAGCGCAAGGGGAATCGAGGGAGACTGAAAGGGGAGGGGAAATCTACTCACCGTCGTTGGCCGGTTTGGGGGCGCCGAATGGGACCGGAGGAGGGGGACGCGTCGGTGGGAGGTACAGTCGGTTGAAGCAGCGACGGCGGCGGAGGAACCCTAGACGGTCGCCCCTTCGCGCGCTCTCTCAGTGGTGCGGGAAGGTGACGGGAGTGGGACTAGCCTCTCATGCTCGTAAGCAAGGTTTTAATGGCGGTTTTCTCGACTTGGCGGCAAAACTAAATTATTCAGAGCAGAGCAAAGCTACAGTGATTCAGTTCAGGTGGTGTTCTGCCTCTGTTATGAAGAATGTGCACAGTCCAATTGATATTGCATTATTGGAATGTTCATTGTCTTGTTTTAACCCATGTATATATATCATACTCCCTCCGTTTCAAAATAGATGACTCAACTTTGTATACTAACTTTAGCGTCGGATGAAGGAAATGTCACCCTTGACGAGACCCGAACAGATGATATTCCACAAGTCACGACAGAAGAGAATGATATCCTCACGGCACCTTTCTCAGAGGAGGAGGTGAGAGCAGCGGTGTTCCAAATGGAACACAACAGAGCTCCAGGCCCTGATGGTTTCCCCGCAGAATTCTATCAGAATTTCTGGGATATCATCAAGGCTGACCTTTTGGAGTTGTTCAATTGTCTTCATGCCAATCGATTTGATCTATTCAGAATAAATTTTGGCGAGATTGTCTTGTTGCCGAAGATTAAGGAGGCTGAACGGATTCAGCAGTTCAGACCCATATGTCTCCTTAATGTTAGCTTCAAGATTTTCACCAAAGTGGCTACGAATAGGTTAAACTTGATAGCTGACCGTGTTGTCCGTCCATCTCAAACGGCCTTTATGCAAGGACGAAATATACTAGATGGTGTAGTAATCCTGCATGAGACCGTCCACGAGATGCACCGAAAAAACATGAGTGGAGTGATATTCAAAATTGACTTTGAAAAGGCATATGACAAGGTCAAGTGGTCTTTCCTTCAACAGACCCTAAGTATGAAAGGTTTCTCTGATAAATGGCGCCAGTGGATCCACAATTTTGTAACTGGAGGTAGTGTGGCCATCAAAGTCAATGATGATGTAGGTCATTACTTTCAGACAAAAAAAGGACTACGGCAGGGTGACTTTATGTCCCCAATGTTATTTAACATTGTCGCTGACATGTTGACGATTCTGATTGAGCGCGCCAAGCAGAACGGCCAGATTGCAGGAGTAGTGCCACACCTTGTGGATGGTGGCCTCTCTATTTTACAATACGCCGATGACACAATTCTTTTTATGGAACATGATCTGGACAAGGCTTGAAACCTGAAACTCTTGCTTTCAGCGTTTGAACAAATGTCGGGTCTCAAAATAAACTTCCATAAAAGCGAATTGTTCTGCTTTGGAGAAGCCGTTGAGGCGGCGGCCGATTATGCTGACCTATTTGGTTGCGCACATGGTCAATTCCCGATTAAATATCTGGGAATACCGATTCATTATCGACGCCTCACCATTGCGGAGTGGAAGCATGTAGAGGAGCGTCTAGAGAAACGGTTGAGTAGTTGGAAAGGAAAACTATTCTTAGTTGGAGGACGGTTGGTTTTGATTAATTCTGTCCTCACAAATATGGTTCTCTATATGCTTTCTTTCTTCCAACTCCCAAAAGGGGTCCTAAAAAGATTGGATTATTTTAGATCCAGATTCTTTTGGCAAGGAGACGATGAAAAGAAAAAATACAGGCTGGCCAAATGGAGCGTGGTTTGTAGGCCGAAAGACCAAGGAGGGCTCAGAATTCATGACTTGGAGGTCAAAAATGAGGCCCTACTCAGTAAATGGTTGTTCAAACTTCTTACTGAGGATGGTGTTTGGCAAACCATGCTGCGCAACAAGTATCTAGGTCAAAAGTCGGTGTCCCAGGCATTTTGGAAACCTGGCGATTCGCACTTTTAGGCTGGCCTAATGGCGGCAAAGAAACATCTCTTTCGCTTTGGGTCTTTCACGATAAAGGATGGGTCGGAGATTCGTTTTTGGGAAGACATCTGGCTAGGCAATGCTAGTCTTCGAGAACAATATTCAGGCTTATACAACATTGTTCGTGATAAGAATAATACTATTGCGCAAGTGCTTGGTTCATTCCCGCCGAATATTTCGTTCAGGCGGGATTTGATTGGCCCCCGACTTGTGTCATGGCATAATCTTTTATCCCGACTGGATTCGATTAACCTGACACAAGGCCGGGATGTGTTTCGCTGGAACCTTACTACATCAGGGTCTTTCCTGTAGACTCTATGTATCGTGCGCTCACACATTCTGAGGTACCAGTGAGTAATAACAAGAAAATTTGGAAATCTAAGATTCCATTAAAAGTGAAAATTTTCATGTGGTATCTTCGTAGGGGGGTTGTGTTAACCAAAGACAATCTCGCACGACGCAACTGGCAAGGGAGTAAGAAGTGTTGTTTTTGTACTCATGATGAGACAATCAAACACCTCCTTTTCCAATGCAAGTTTGCGCGTTCTACGTGGTCAGTCATCCAAATAGCGTCAAATTTGTATCCGCCCACAAATGTTGCCAATATTTTTGGTCATTGGCTGGACGGTATTTCAAATAGGTTCAAAACGCTAATAAGGGTGGGAGTGTATGCCTTAATTTGGTCGCTTTGGCTATGTAGAAATGATTTTGTTTTTAATGGAAGAAATGCTTCTCCTCTACAGGTTATTTTCCGCTGTACACAATTGCTACGTATGTGGTCTATGTTACAACGACCGGAGGACCAATCGCTGTTCAAGGCGGTCTGTATGCGATTGGAGCAGGTGGCTATGGAGGTTTTTTCCCAACATGGGTGGCAACATAACCTTCGGATCGATCCACCACCTCCTTCGACATAGGCATAGTGTCGGTCTATAGGGGTCTACTGTTGCCGTTTTGTCGGTTTTTTTCATCATTTTTTGTCAGACCTTCATATTGGGCTGTGTGCATCCTAGTTATGCAGAGGCCGGGTGTTACTCATAATGCTTTGTATCTGCTTGATGCTACATTTGAGATAATAAAATCACCCTTTATCGGAAAAAAAAGTATAAAGTTGGGTCATATTTTTTGAAACGGAAGGAGTATATGGGAGTTATTTACCCAAAATCATCACGCTTGAGACTAGGGCAACAACTTAGTGCCAGATTTGAACCAGGGCACAAAAAAACCATTGAAACTGCGCCTAATGCGTAACGCGGAGCATCGATGCTGAAATTTGATCGTGAAAATAACAAAATTGACAGGTGGGTCTTGCCTGTCAGGCCGACGTGGCAAAGACCAAGCACACAAAAATACTTTGACCGGCTGAAGTGGCAGATGAGATGCATGGTCATCTTCATTCCATCTATATTCCTATGGAGCATTTGCGTCCAGAGCTTGTGAGCGGCCATGCCCTTGCGATCTGAGAGGTCCATGGCCATGGCAGCCGAGCCCTTGCTCAAGCTAGGCGCAGCCTAGCTCAACGTCCAAATCCTCCTCTCCATTTTCCCTTCGTCTAGAGCCCGCTCCCATCCTCCAACCCCTTCCCCGCTGCCGTCGGAGACCAAGCCGTCGACGCCGCTGCACACCAGCGTGGCCACCGTCGTAGTTTCGCCGAGACACAATGTCCCAGAGCTTTGCCTCTTCACGCTGGCCATCCTTGATGACGAACAAGAGCTGAGACGCCGCACAACGACCGAATCAACCGCGTCTTCAACCTTGAGCCGTCGGCTCTCGTCGGTGAATTCACCACCTTCAGAGCACCTCTGACCTCGCTAGCCTGCTCAACTGAATCGCCATGAGTCCCTTTCCTTTTAACCCTTCCTACCGTAGTTGCTTTCGCTCTGTAACTAATTCCTCGTCCATGCCTGAGAGCTTCGGCCACCGTACATCTCCGCCACCGTCATTTGAGCACAAATTGATCATGCCTGAGCACGGTACTGAGATCCTGGAGCTCCTGTGAGGCCATCTAGAGGCTTAGCTTGCTCACTTGCAAGCTGTAACTCGGCCCTCGCGCTAGCCCAAGCTTCGCCACCGCCCAGCTCACCGTCGTCAATGCTACTGGCCACCCTAGCACCTTACCGCCGGTGCGGCCGCAGCCGGCGGGCCCTTCCCACGTCTCCTCCCTTTCCTCTCGAAGGCCATCTCCCTTCAACATGCCCGTAAGCTTGCCTCTGCTCCGGACCAGCCGCCGCAGGGCGGAGTAAGAGAGGAGGAAGAAGAAGATAAAAGGAGTAAGACGCTGAGTGGCTGACTGGTGGGTCCCCCATCCACCTCAGCAGGGTCAAACATTGACTTGCATTAGTCTTTGCCACGTCGGCCCGACAAGCAGGACCCACCTGTTGGTTTTGCTGTTTTCGCGACCAAAATTTAGCATCAATGCTCCGCGTTACGCATTAGGCGCAGTTTCGGTAGTTTTTTGTGCCCTAGTTCAAATCTGGTACTAAGTTGTTACCCTAGCCCCAAATATGGTGATTTTGGATAAATAACTCCACATATGGATAATGATCATTGTCTACCGGAGACACATGAACCGACGAGGACATGGGCTCTGCCGCAACCACAACACACACACACACACACCACAATCAATCAATATGCATGCACAACTCAAAATGAAGACATAAGGAAAACGAGAGAGCAACTAGTTGGCGAGCGCTCCTTGGGATGGGCTGAGAGCACGCCACTTGGCGCTCTCTCAATTTTTTAAATGCTTGGATCAACATTTTGAAATACATGATCAATTTTTTTCACACGCATTATAAATTTTTTGTATACATTTTTCATATACATGAGAAACATTTTCTCTATGTACATTTAACATGTTCCATATGCTTGGTTAATGTTGTTTAGAAAATGTTGTATGT